TACTTTTGCTGTTAGTCGCAGGCTCAACAAAAATGGTGAAAAAATTATTAAAAAATTTCCTCTAGATACTATCTTTTGATTGTAAGAAGCTTCTATCCAAGTTTGGTAAAAATCCAGGATGGTTTATGAATCTAATAAATGTTTTAAAAACTTTAATTGCAGACTGTATGTAATGTTAATTGTAACTGGAAGAAAAACTAAGTCCATTTATAAGTAATATACGGAAAAACAGGAAATAAATTTTTTGATCACAAAGTTTGAAACAAGCTTATGTCCAAGTTTGGTAGAAATCCAGGATAGTTTAAGAAAGTTATTAAAATTTTAAAAACTTTAACCACAGAGTGAATGAAATGTTAACTGGCAGAAAAACTAAGTCCATTTATAAGTAATATACGGAAAAACAGGATTTTTTTTCACAAAATTTACTTCTGGATTCTATCTTATGATCATAAACAAGCTTATGTCAAAGTTTGGTAGAAATCCAGGATAGTTTGAGAAAGTTATTAAAATTTTAAAAACTTTAACCACAGAGTGAATGTAATGTTCCCTGGCAGAAAAACTAAGTCCATTTATAAGTAAAATACGGAAAAACAAGAATTTTTTTTTACAAAATTTACTTCTGGATACTATCTTATGATCATAAACAAGCTTCTGTCCAAGTTTGGTAGAAATCCAGGATAGTTTAAGAAAGTAATAAAAATTTCAAAAACTTTAACCACAGAGTTAATATTTGTGGCCGCCACAGCCGACGACGACGCCGACTTGATGTAGGATCGCTATGTCTCACTTTTTCGAACAAAAGTGGAAGGCTCGACAAAAAGGGAGGGGATTCAAGTCTTCACTGTACAAAAGTTACTTTGATACATTAAAATTTCTCAATTCTTGATATCAATAGAAATTTGTTAGGCAATTTGAAAATGTTATTTTTATAAGCCTACACTGAACATGCTGAAGAACATGAAGAAGTCCACACTTTGTCTTTTCAACATTACATCACTCTGGAATAAAGTCAAACTTTTCCATTTAAGATTTCTGAGTAATAGTGCATCATGATATGAAAGTTAGTTATAAGATGTTACAGATGATCTGTCTCTATGGAGTATACACAAATCTTTCATTCTTTATTTAGAATTTAAATAGTACAAGATGTTGAGTTGGTAGTTAATTTATTTTGGACATGAAATGCATCATTATTCTTTTAAAGGCAATCATGTGACATACAACATTTTGTTTTGAAAAATACAATATACATGTACATTTATGGCTGATTTTTTAAAAATTACATGTATATCCATGAAAACAACAGTAGTACTGTAACAGATGCATTAAATTAGTCATAATTATTACTTCAATCATGCTAGCTATATACATGATGTACATGATGTATATGAATAAATGGAGATGTGGGTGTGTGTCAAGTATTTATAGTCATGATAGTTGTTCAGTTTGATCTCATTTGGCTAATCAATTTAAAAGACTGACATAAATACATTTCCCCTTTGATTAAAAAAAATGTATGGGAAACCTTTTGTTTTTCTGCATTTGTATAAAAATATATTTGTATTGGTTATAAAGTATATAATGGCCTTGAAACTACACATATTTAGCACATACTTACAACTTCTCGTCCAATCAAATTGCTTATATTTGCCTTCTAATTTTCATAGTACATACTTTTCCTGTGTACTAAGTAACTACGCATGAATGACCACAAGGGTAAGATTTCATTGTATCGTAATCAAGATATTTAAAACAAAAATTGCCACTGGCTATTTTGAAATAAAATGCTGTGTTCCAAATTAAAATAAATAGTTTGTAATTAGTTTTCACATTGATTTTTGTCGAGCCTGCGACTTTTGTCGCAGAAAGCTCGACATAGGGATAGTGATCCGGCGGCGGCGTTAGCTAACTTCTTAAAAGCTTTATATTTTAGAAGGTGGAAGGTCTGGATGCTTCATACTTTGTATATGGATGCCTCATGTTACGAAGTTTCCGTCAGTCACATGTCCAATGTCCTTGACCTCATTTTCATGGTTCAGTGACTACTTGAAAAAAAAGTTAAGATTTTTTGTAATGTTAGATTCTCTCTTATTATAAGTAATAGGATAAATATATTTGGTATGTGCGTACCTTGCAAGGTCCTCATGCCTGTCAGACAGTTTTCACTTGACCTCGACCTCATTTCATGGATCAGTGAACAAGGTTAAGTTTTGGTGGTCAAGTCCATATCTCAGATACTATAAGCAATAGGTCTAGTATATTCGGTGTATGGAAGGACTGTAAGGTGTACATGTCCAACTGGCAGGTGTCATCCGACCTTGACCTCATTTTCATGGTTCAGTGGTTATAGTTAAGTTTTTGAGTTTTGGTCTTTTTTTCTAGTACTATATGCAATAGTTCAACTATATTTGGTATGTGCGTACCTTGCAAGGTCCTCATGCCCGTCAGACAGTTTTCACTTGACCTCGACCTCATTTCATGGATCAGTGAACAAGGTTAAGTTTTGGTGGTCAAGTCCATATCTCAGATACTATAAGCAATAGGTCTAGTATATTCGGTGTATGGAAGGACTGTAAGGTGTACATGTCCAACTGGCAGGTGTCATCTGACCTTGACCTCATTTTCATGGTTCAGTGGTTATAGTTAAGTTTTTGTGTTTTGGTTTGTTTTTCTTGTACTGTATGCCATAGGTCTACTATATTTGGTGTATGGAATGATTGTAAGGTGTACATGTCTAGCGGGCAGGTGTCATCTGACCTTGACCGCATTTTCATGGTTCAGTGGTCAAAGTTAAGTTTTTTGAGTTTTGGTCCTTTTTTCTAATACTATATGCAATAGTTCAACTATATTTGGTGTATGGAAATATTTTATGATCTATTTGGCAGTCACACAGGTTTTATTTGACCTTGACCTCATTTTCAAGGTTCATTGCTCAGTGTTAAGTTTTTGTGTTTTGGTCTGTTTTTCTTAAACTATAAGCAATAGGTCAATTATATTTGTTGTATGGAAGAATTGGTAGCTGTACATGCCTGCCTAGCATGGTTCATCTGACCTTGACCTCATTTTCATGGTTCATTGGTCAATGTTTAGTTTACTTGGTTAATGTTAAGTTTATGTGACAGTTGTAATAAAGCTTTATATTTAGGACTATCAACATAATATCAATGATTAGTAAAGAAGGCGAGACATTTCAGCATGTGCACTCTTGTTAAATATCCTTCTATTAAAATCTTTGGATCTAAAAAATGTTTTTGACAATTGCAAATTTTATCATTTAAATAAAGGGTAATACATATGGTTCTTTATACCTTGATTAGAGTACAACGATATCTTAAAATTATGATAATGTATCATCCATGCAATTACTTTGTACACAGAAAAGTGTGTACTATGAAACCTTGTGAAGGAAAATTAAAGCAACTTGGTGATAATTTTTTAAACTTTCTTAAGGAAAGTGATCTATTTCGTCATGAATTGATTGATTTATTGATTATTGGTTGCTTAATGTCCAGTGGCAAATATTTCATGCATGTTCAGGACGATGTCATGAATTGAAAAACTGTGATTATGTATGAAGATAATGTGCCACCTATATATATATATATATATAAACCTATTCTGATAAATCTTTTAGTTTTTACTTTGAACTAATAAAAAAAAAAAAAACACAAAACCTATAATCTTTGATCTATTTGTAGTTGCTTTTAATGCCTATCTGCTAGACTATATCTTTGGGGACAAACTATCTATATGTTTCAAGTTTATTATAGCTTTAGTTTTACTGTGAAATTAAAAAATGTTTTCAAAACATGTAAAGTTTCCACTGCAATTTAATTATTGCCTGCTTTTGGTCAATTTGTTTTGTCATCTTACCTTGTAAGAAGAACATGTATAGTAAAACACCGCATTATATCAGTATACATACTTACACCAGCAGCTACCATCTTTTCATTCTGGAGTGAAGGGCCTTTTGAAATCACATATTTTACAATGATACTAGTGAGTAGATTTACAAAATTCGTTAATGAGCTCTGTTTTACAAACACCTGTAATACAAGTAGTCAGCCAAAATAAACTATCAATAGACCAATTAAAAGATTACTCGAGTTGTAAATATGTGCTAAATTGGATAGTCTATGGAAAGGTATATACTATGAAATTAAGAGCTCGGGGCAAGCCCCTCGCTCTAAATTTCATAGTATATACCTTTCCATAGACTAACCTAGACATAATCCTAGTTCCTGATATACTTTTGTCTCAGGAACAAAGTACTTTTGTTTGAACTGTTAACACAAATATGACAGCTTAAAAGGGTTAGCAAATCTTCTATTGTTTTAAACTTCCAAAAAAGTTACTGCCATTTATAAAAAATTATATATTTACAAAAAAAGTGAATGAAACATAACTTATTATTTATTATATTCCCACTGGCTGACTGCCAGTATGTCAAGGTTTTCTTGGTGTGTAGCTTAGATTTATAATACAAAACTAAAAATCTAAATAGATTTTTTACAAAATGCACTTTTCTAGATGTTACGGTCATTTACATTGAATAAACCAATTATATTCAGAGTTCGCCAAATCTTTTTTTCCCTGGTGGTCCTTGAAGAAAATCTGCTGGTCCTCTATATTATTTTTATTGCAAAATTGTGCTGGTCCTTTGCAAAATTTTGGCGGTCAAATCGTTTGGACCACCCCTTTTTGAGAATTCTGTCTATTGGAGATAAAACTAACTGCCAGGCCAGCGTTTTCCCCGATGTATAGGCAGTTAAAGTAACATTTCTGATGTTTCTGTTGAATCAAATGATCAATAGAAATTTTTGGCAATTAAATTTAACTGTTGTTTACAACATGACCAATAACCTAACAACTACATGCAATAGATTCAATTTTTTCACACCTGTGTTCTAATACTTGTCAACCAAAAAGTAGATTCAATTTGGTATATGAAAATGCCAAAGTAATTCAGGGATAACATTCACACATGATTTATGTTACAGGGTATCCCAGTAGCCATTGGCATTGGTGTGGTTGCCGTGACTGCTATACTTGCCAAGATCTTCCTGTTTGGAAACAAGAAGAAAAAATCACCAGTCACTCTCGAAGAACCAGACAGAAAATATCCACTGAAACTAATAGACAGAGAGGTAACATTTTTTAGTCCTACTTATAATATAAGCATGTTAAGGATCCTTACAATTGTTTACTAGCAATGACTAGATAGTGGTAGTTATCTTTACAGATCACTGTGATCCATCACAAATACCTTCTTTAATTTCTACACAGTAATTGTAGGGGTTTTATTTTAGTGTATTGCCAATTTTAATTGCATTGATATAGGAAGGTGATTGGCTGATTCTACACACTAAACAACCCTTTATCAATAGAGTCTGCATCCGACGGACACAATCAATTTCTATTGTATTGATTCACAATGTGCCAAATTTCCTCATGTGTTAGGGATTGTCTCACCATTAGAGGTGATGACCTGACTTAAATCAACCAAATCTAAAAACATCAAAACAGGTTTTCAAAAGAGTTAAAACCAAATTAAAGTACTTACTCATTATACATGTTATAACAGTATATTAAAGAAAAAAACACTTGACAAATATGAAAGATGCTTTAGGTCCCCTTGTGCTCAAAATTCCCCATACAAACAAAAAATCTACCTTCTTATACGCCCGTTTACGGGACGTATTATGGTATACCGTTGACCGTCTGTCCCTCGTCAACATGTCGGACATTAACTCAAAATGCTTTAACCAATATGCATAAAACTTTGGTGAATTGTTTATATCTATTGACCTGAGCTCCCTTTCGTTTTTTATAAATTTCAGATTTACCGTTTCTGAGTTTTGGGGTTTTATTCATTAAAAAAGGGGGGATTTTCCAGTTTTCTGACAATGACTCAAGAATGCTTTCACCAACTTGCAAGAAATTTTGGTGAATTGTTTATATCTATTGACATGAGCTCCCTTTCGATTTTTATAAATTTTAGATTTTACATTTCCGAGTTACAGGGTTTTATTCATAAAAAAGGGTGATTTTCCAGTTTTCGACAATAACTAAAAAATGCTTACAGCAGTTCTCATGAAACTTTGGTAAATTGTTTATATCTGTTGATGTAAGCTCCCTTTAGAATTTTATAAATTTTAGATTTTACATTTCTGAGTTAATGGGTTTTATTCATTAAAAAAGGGGGATTTTCCAGTTTTTGGACAATAACTCAAAAATGCTTTCAGCAGTTCTCATGAAACTTTGTTGAATTATTTATAGCTATTGATGTAATCTCCCTATTGATTTTCATAAATTTCAAATATGACATTGAGAAGAAATTGAACTTTATTTGTTTATAGTTACTAAGTATTGCGCAACAGCACAGTGTATTGCACAACAGTAAGAAATCTTTAATTGAATATAAATTCAATTCATATAACCAATTTCAAGTTCTTTGATTACATTTATTGAGAAACCTATAATATGTCAAATATTTAATTACAATCCAAATTCAGACCTGTATCAAGCTTGAATATTGTGTCCATTTTTGCCCCAACTGTTCAGGGTTGAACCTCTGCGGGCGTATCCAGCTGCGCTCAGCGAAGCAGTTTATTTTAACTGGTACAAAATAGTAATTGTGGAATATATAAAAAAGCATGTTGTAGATCTATCAACAGTTGGTTATAATTGTCTTTGTTCAGCTGGTCATGATCCATTACTTAGCATTTATGAAACATTCAACTTGTTCAAGACTTATAGCACCTATCATATATTAAGCTTGCTTCATTGTTATGGTATTTCTTTGTAGGAAGTTAGTCCAGATACAAGGAGATTTCGTTTTGCTTTACCCAGCCCTGAACATATACTGGGACTACCAGTTGGTGAGTAACAATAATTATTATACATGTGGTTTATATTAGTCCAATATCAAGCCTTCCTGATAATAACTGTCAGTGGATTGTTGTCAATTTTTTCAGATTACACTGTATAAGTGAGATAGTGGCATTTTTGGACAAGTCCCAAATTGCAATACTGTCATTTAGTATTGGGATATGAGGTGGGTTGATGGGCAGGCTGGCAGAGGATGTTTGTTTAAGGTTGTGTTATCAACTCATCCTACAGTTTCCACCCAGATCCTAAGCCTGAAACCTCAAAGAAAGATTGCATACATGTACATATTAAATTTGTGCACCTAGTATTATGGATTTATTTGATGAATTCCCATACTTAGAAATATAGGAATTTTTGAGAAAAATTTATAAAATACCTGTACTGGTAACTATTTTTTACAATCAACATCTACAGTTATTAACCCAGATCCCTGAAATTCACAGACAGATTGCACACATATTGAAGTTGTGCACCTGCTTTTATGGAATCATTTGAGGAATATATTCCAGTTTTTCAACCCAGATCATTCAAGCTTCACAGAAAGATTGCACACATATTGATGTTTTAGGATTTGTTTCTCATATTTCCAAACTTGGGAACACGGTAATTTTTTAGCTGAATTTGCAAAAGCTGGCACCAATAGTTGTCTTTGCAACTTCATAGAAAGTTTGCATCGTTTTAAGGTTGTGCTCCCTCCTTTATTGAGTTATTTCAATATTTTCCATATTTTTTATGTTTTATAGACCATTCTCCATTGTTAAAGAAACATTATGTGCAGTATTTCATCCATTTTTATATACAAATGTATTGGTTCCTATATATGACCTTTCAATAGATAGAGTCTTAATTTACAATCACTGTTTTTCAGGTCAACATATATATTTGACAGTGAGGATTGATGGTCAGTTGGTAATCAGACCTTACACACCAGTGTCCAGTGATGATGACAAAGGATTTATGGATTTGGTTATCAAGGTATGTCATCTACTGTATTCAGGCTTGTAAAGTCTGCACTGGTACATTGTCCGCACCCCCCTTTTCGCCATGAGAATTCAGGAAAAAAATCTATTAGTACCTGCTTAAAAACGTCTAATAAACATGATAAAGCTCTGGTAATTTCAAATCGTGTGTGATCGTTTGCGGTATTTCATGTAAAACCCTGTTTTCCATCATTCAGCAGAAGTTGTAAATGATTCTAGAACACTCCATGAGTGTTAAAATAAGTCAAAATCACGAATAAACAATTGGGAAAGTTATTAACCTGAAGTTCATATAGCACGTGTAAATCAAAAATAATTACGGTGAGAGTGTGCAGAAATTCCGTACTTCATAGTTATTACTAGAATATGACTTTGAAACTAAAACAATTTCGTTCTTTAGTTAAATACTATTACCTAAATGTATCCATCACATTAATATTTGAATGATCTTCGGATAAAACAAAACGCATGCGTCAGTATGAAAAACCAAATAACCGATTACATTTTGTAGTTTTTACATTGTAATGCATAGGGTGGTTCCCGGCTGATTTATATACTTTTTTCATTCCGGTAAATACAAGCGGATTCCAGTTTATGTTAAGCAATGCTATGAAAAGAAACAATTGATTTGTAATGAAGCATTTAATTTTGATATTTATCAGTTAATATTGGATTTTGAATTAAATTTGCATATTGATATGGATTAGGGAAATTATTATTTTTGAAAATTATAAGGGCGCCCTCTACATTTTCAATAACAAACATGGCAGAATGTAAACAAACCTTGCAAAATCAAGTTTTTTTCTTATTTCTTGCTTATCCTACTCTCTAATTCACACCCCTGCCTGGCAATACTAATTTTGGACATAAAAATGTGGACTATACAAGCCTGAATATGGTAGATAGGGACTGAACAATGATCCAATCTTCTTGAGAATTGCAACTACATGATGTAAACGATTTATAGTCATGTTGATATGTGAAGATAAAATGGACAAATAGAATAGGTCTAGTTAAAAGAATAATTTTGATTAATAAAAGAATGCAGAAAAAACCCAAGAAATGGCTGAAGGATAAATAAAAAAAGAAGAAACAAAGACATGCAATATGCTATTCTTTAGCTTTACATCTTTTGCCAGATTTTCATTTCTTAATATAACTTCAAATTTTTTTTTTAGTTTTTGTTTTGTTTATTGTCAAAGTCTAAGATTTGTTCATATCATATTTTAGGTGTACTTCAAAAATGTGCATCCCAAGTTTCCAGAAGGAGGTAAAATGTCTCAATACTTGGAGAGCATGGAGATAGGAGATTTTATTGATGTTAGAGGACCAAGCGGTCTCTTGGTTTATGATGGACAAGGTTTGTTTCTTTCGCCATGATAAAAAAGATCAACATTCTATCAATTGTTAATTGCAATTCCAATAAAACTTTCATATTTGCACACGTTTTCTGATTTGAGTTACCTACCTTTGACCTTATATCCATGTATTTGATGAACATAGTAATGGTATCACTTTCATGTTACCAAGATTGCAATGAACATTTGTAATCAGCATTGCTACAATGAAATTTTGCAATGCGGCAAACTATTATGTTTTAAGTTGAAAATGGCAAAATTTGGTTTTAATTGGCAAGACAAGTTATTTCTCATGAAACATTAATCCACCAAATTATTTTTTAATTACAGTAAACAAAATATGTCAGTTAGAATAAGAATTGAAGATTTCCTCTGCTATTTATTTAGAGTATGTGTCTTTTCTTTGACAATTCATCATCAGTTTATGCAATTATTAGTTTTGCCAAATTTAATTATTGAGGCCAAATCATGCATTGATAATTATGAATGTTTACTCATGATCTGTTATTTTTTTGTAGGAGTTTTCCAGATTAAGTCTGACAAGAAAGCTGCACCAGAGACTGTGATGGCTAAGAAAGTTGGAATGATAGCTGGAGGTACTGGTATTACACCTATGTTACAGCTTGTCAGGGCTATCTTTAAAGATAAAAATGACAACACAGAGATTTCACTTCTCTTTGCTAACCAGGTTAGATCAATGAATTATTGTCTGTTTTGCAGTGTCCAGACTTATTAAAGACATTTTTTAAAACGACATAGTTTCTTCGTTGGGCCATGATGTATTTGGAATTTACATTTTAAAAATATCAGACCGTTTTGATTTATGATCTGAAAACTTCACCGTCAAACATCCTCTCTTTTTAAGGGTTTGATACTGTTTAATGCATTTCTTATTTCTTACTTAATTTTGAAATAAGGTGCTATTTCAGATTTACTGTAAATGCAGAAATTATTGCAAGGTTTTTATCAATGCGAATAATGTGACTGGTTGAGTATAACAATGATAAAAACTCGCATTTTGATATCTGATACATATATCTGTATGCAGATTTTCCTGAAATCACAATAAACTCCTATTTTTGTCCATTCTTTAACAATTGCAATAATAAATGCATGCAATAATTTCTGAATTTACAGTAATTGAAACCCAAAAAACTTTTTGAAAAAAGCTTGAAGAACATGGGTTCAAATGAAAATTTAAATATCCTATTAAGATGTAAATGAATTGATGAATGATGTTTCAGTGCATTCATTAATACCCGGTACCCGGTACTTTTACCCGCCTACGGAAGCGTCTGGTACCGGCAGAAAAAATAAAAATACAAAAAAAAAATGTGTAAAATTCTTTTGAAGATCGTTCAAATCTAATTTCTTTCATTCCTTGACAATCTCTGTTCTACGCCGTTCATGTGTATGTTTATAGGTGTCTTCGTCGAGGTCCGCGTTAAAGTATAGATCTATCTTCTGCCAATTTAGGCACACCTCCAAAGTAGGAGAAGTGATAATTACAAACCATGTGTCTGTATCTGTATCGTAAGAGCGCTTTAAAATGCGACGATTTAGCAGTATATTTTCAAGCGGCAAATTGTTGATGAATTTAAACAACAACAGCAATATTATGTCTAATAAAAGGAAAGCAGCTTGTATCACAGATTATTTTATGAATAAAAGGTTTAATAAAGGTGATTATTCTATGAAATTCAGAAAAATCGTTAATCGTATCAAATCAGTTCGTTTCCCGTTGGACGTTGTCACTGATCTCCGTTTTCACGATATGTGTTCTATGTTGTGATTGAATTTTTTAGTGTAAGACATCGTGAAACATTTTACAATCTGAACTAACATAACTGTTACGTTTACCAAATATAACATCTGACGAGATTTAAGACTTCTAAAATTAAAAAAAAAGACAGCTAAGAAGAAGTGAAAATTTTTTTTTTTTTACTTACTATAGTCAAGAATCCTATGATTAATTTGCCCCCCCCCCCCCCCCCCCCCCCCCCCCCCCCCCCCCCCCCATTTCACAATCACCCCTTTTTATGAATATTAAAGTTAAGTGAAAGTTGAATACATGTTGTTTTTTTTCGGACAAGAACAACCATCACAACACTTAGCATATATCAAAAACGTTTGTTTGTTGTTTTGCATGAGAGCATGTTTATTGTTTATTTTGTTTAATTGTTTGCATGACACTGTTAAATTACTTACACAAACAATTGACACAGTTATGATTATAACAAAGCAATAAAAAAAAAGTTACAACAGTTTTATTATCAATTTTTTTTAATAATATTATATACTATGTAACTTATGAAATTTCATTCACAAAATTGAACAAATGCAAAACATTTAATAAAAGTATAAAAACAAACAAAACATTTAAACAACATTTCACATGAAACCCCTGCGTTATAGGTCATACCATGGAAGTATTATATTGACAATATAATACTTCCATGGTCATACATATTTTATAACTGATTACAAAATAATTATAAGCAATGTATTTTCAGATGATTACTCTAGCATGTCTAGAAAAAAAACAATTCAATGTTAACTTACCCAAAATTGAAGCAAATATTACAGACTTTACCCTATTTTTTTAAGCAAAAAATTAAGGCTGAAATCCCTAAAATCCATGAGCTTCCGGGGGGCTTTGCAAAGCCCCCCGGAAGCTCATGGATTTTAGGGATTTCAGCCTTAATTTTTTGCTTAAAAAAATAGGGTAAAGTCTGTAATATTTGCTTCAATTTTGGGCATAAAAATGTGGACAGGGGTCTGGGGGCCGCTTAAGGCTAGCCCTGGTAAGCGGCCCCCAGACCCCTTGCCGTTTAAGTTTGGTTCCCCCTATAATCTCAAAGGTACCTCCAGTCTAAAAAAATAATGAAACCCCTGATGTTTTGAATTTTAAACTCTGTTCTTGAATTTCAGACTGAGAATGATATATTACTAAGGACGGAGTTGGAAGAAATTGCTGCTGAACAACCAAATAGATTTAAATTGTGGTTTACGTTAGATAGGCCTGAAGAAGGTAAGTGTAACTAGACTGCTTAAAATGTGGCTAACAATTGTGTAATTACACAATATATTTATTGTGTTAATATTTGTCATGACTGTGATTTGTGTCTTAAATTTTTTTTTCTTTGCCACTGGGTAAGATTAATTTGCAAATTTAAAACAAACCTTTCTGTATCAACAAGTGGGTTCAGACATTTGGCCGAAAATGAGTTGGTTGGATTAGGACCAGACTAGAAAGCTAGAAGTGAAACATAGTTCTTCAAAATTAATACTACAATGAGCTCACTAATCTGCATGTTTAACTGTTTGATGTGAAAATAAATATAATGTACAAAATAAATTTATTTCTCAATTTAAAAAGAACAAACAACCAATATTTGTAAATATGTTTTATTCACAAAAGCGCACACACATCATCATGATACAGTACATATATAAATTCAAATGCAGTAATGTATGGTAAAAATACATGAGACAATATATATCCTATATAAACAAAAGAGATGAAAATAATGGTTCCCTTATAAAACATGTATATTTTAATGTTGTGAAAAAGACAAAAACTATAGTCATGAGGATAGCCAGTTATTTTTTTCTTCATCTTTTTCCAAGTAACATGTCAGGGATAATTACTACATTCTATTAAGGTCTTATTAACCAAAATGAGAGAGAATTTTAGGTGACTTCCAAAAGAAATATTTTCAAAAGGAGTCTAACTGCATTATAATATTGATTGACTTTAAATCAACATTTTTGAAAATACTTATTTCCTGTTTTTCCTTTTTGCTGACTTTGTGGTGATTTGTTTTTATGATTTGATAACTCTGTAGGTGTATTTATATAAAAGAATATCAAAGTATTTGTGCAGATTAATAGTGTGATTTTTTCTATTCACAAAAAATTGGAAAAAAATGAGTTGGTTAACAGTATTGTTTATTCTGTAGTGGCGTTTTCTTTTCATTTTAGGCTGGAAGTATAGTAAAGGATTTATAAGTGCTGATATGATTAAGGATCACCTACCTCCACCAGATGGCGATACTCTTATTCTGATGTGTGGACCACCTGCCATGATCAATTTTGCTTGCCTACCTAACCTGGACAAACTTGGGTATACACCCAAGATGAGATTTGCCTACTAAGACCAATACTAAATATAAGTTATTATTTGTAGTTCCTATGACAACATATATTAGTGTATTATCATGCAAGGGTAATATTGAAAGAAGAAAGCTTGCATGTGTAGAATTATGTGGTATTTATATTAGATATTGTTGCAATATTATAACCAAAAAAATGCTAACTTTTTGTCTTCTTCCTTCATCTGGTTCTAAATATATGATAATACCACAACAAATACATGTAATATATAGTCAAAGGAAACAATTCAAAAACATGGGATAAGATATTTATTGATGACGTTTCTTGAATTATAACATAAAAATGAAAACAAAATTTTTTGGATAAAGCTATAAAAAAAAATAGTAATGTTAAAAACTATACACTTAACCTTTTGCCTATACATGTACATTGCAGATTCTTGGTTTTTTATTAAGTATACTCTTTCTCTTGAGGTCTTGACTTCAACAGACAAAATGCGGCCTTAAAGTATGAGTGAGGGATGGTTACTAGTGAGAATGCAATAACAAGGAAACTACTGTTCTTATGTAAAAATAAACTAACATTATAGAGGAGAGACATTTCTTAAAAAACACTTTATACATCACATCTTGTAAAATTCCGACATTTATAAATACTTTAAAATGCTATGGTGTTGATTAAAAAAATATGGTATAATGCTGGCAGCAACATACATGTTATGGGAAAGTCTGTGTGCATTTAGTGATTATATGTATTTATTTGTGATAGGCTGATTATTACAAGTGTGTGAACAGTGCTATATTATTTATGATTGTGGCAATGAAACTATTTGGTGCAAAAATGCAATAAAAATATGCAATGCATGACAAATACTTGTTGATATTATATAAAAGATGAAGAATTGCATATTAAAGGAATGAAAAATGGTTTTTGAGCTTTTTTATTTTCTTATTGGAACATTTTTGAATTCTTTACTGAAACTATGATATTAAAGTTACAACAATAAGCTTTAATATTGAAATTGTATCTGTTATAAGCTATTATATTTATTAGATAATTTTTTTAACAGTTAAAAGTTGGAAATATAAATAATGAAAACAATGGGTACATATGATGTTTGGTGTAGGCAATGCATAGATATTATATGAAGTTTTTGTTACAAGCTTTTCTATTATTTTTATTAAAATTCTTTGAATATTTTGTATATCCTGTGTTGTTCTTATTCATTACTTATGGCAAAAACAGTCTATAAGTTGTACTAAGGATTTTCTACCCACACAATTAATTACTTTAGCTGTATTTGGCAAAATGTTTTGTAATTTTGGGTCCTCAATACTCTTCCACTACGTCCTTTTGTTGGTCTTTTTAATTTATTTTTATTCGTGTTTCACTGATGAAACTTTTGTAGATTTAACACCAAGTCTGGTGTACAAAATTTTAATTCTGGTATCAGTTATGAGTTTATTCAATATTACTGGGGCCATTAAGTCATTTTCTTTTCTGAATCCTGATTTGTCTCCAATTTAAATTCTTTAGAAGTTGGATGATCATACTAAATTATTTTAAATAAGTAATTTATGGAAGTAATTTTGGTTCTCAAAAGACACAAAGTCCTGGAGGTGAAAATATGGCATGCTTTTTCCAGCTTCAATGTTATCAGTTGTTTTATTTGTGATTACATTTCTTAAGTAGAACCACTTTTGGCAAGTGAGTGGTATTTGGTATGCATTTGAATTAGCATTGGTACATTTCATTTTCATGGGGATAATTTTGGTCAGCTCCAATGTCATCATTGCAACCTTTCCTGAGTTTACAGGTTTAAGTTTGAGATTAGGTCAAATAATATGCGACTTGGATGGAGAGATGTCTCATTTGCACTCATACCACATCTTCTTATTTAAATGAAGGAGATATGATGAGGAATACAGTAATGATGCCATTTAAATTTCAACATTTGCAATGTGCTTTTGAGGTTACACAAAAATAAGACATGCCTCTGTGTCTACAGTTTATTGATAAAATTGAGAATTAAAACATTGACTTTTGTCTCACCTCTGACAAGTCTCAGAATGTGTGACATAGGGATTACAAACCATCAAAACTTGTATAAAGCTTTATATTTCAGGGGCTAGAAGACCTTGATGCTTCATACCTTGTATACAGTTATGTTATGTTACCAAGTTTCCAACTGTCCTTAATCTCATTTTCAAGGTTCCCCAACTGATTGAAAAAACTAGAGCTTTTCTGTAACATAAATTTCTCACTTATGATTATTATGATAATTATATTTGGTATATGGGATTCTTGCAATGTCACTATGTCAGTCAGACAGGGTGCACCTGCCCTTGAAGTCATTTCATGGATCAGTGATCGTTAAGTTTTTGTGGTCAAGTCAATGTCACAGACACTTTCTATTAAGCAATGTGTCAAATTCATTTGTGTAGGGTATATGATTGTAAGCTTGTACATGTCTGACTGTTAGGTTAAATCTGACCTTGACCTTATTTTCATTGGTCAATTTTAAGTTTTTGTGGTTTAATCCGTTTCACAGAAATCATAAGCAATATGGCCACTATATTTGGTGTATGGAATGATTGTTAGGTGTATATGTCGGTCTGTCAGGTTTTTTATGAGCCTGACCTCATTTTTATGGTTTATTGAGCAATGATCAACCTTTGTAGTTAGGTCCGTTTCTCAGATACTACAAGCAAGAAAGCAACAATATTTGGTTTATGGATTGATTGTAAGGTACAAATATCAGTCTGGCAGGATTCATCAGACCTTGACCGAATTTTCATGGTTCATTGGCCATGATAATTTTTTGTGGATTGGTCTGTTTCTAAAAGCTATGCGCAATAGGTCAACTATATTTTTCTGTATTTTATATACGTCTTCAGGATTAGGTGTGTTTCTCGGATACTATTTGCAACTATATTTGGTGTGACCTTAACCTCAAATGGTAATTGTAGTAAAACATTTACATGTATCTAAAAGACTTTCAACATACATTCAATCATGATCAGTAAAGCAGAAAAGACATTTTAGCGTGTACTCTCTTGTTATAAAATAACCCTGAAAAAGTAGAATACTTTATAAAAAGGAGCTAATTATGGCTGCGGATACTGATGAGAAATGGGATTTAAAAAATAATCCGAAATAATGATTGCATCTTGCTACTTTGAGTTTCCATCACTATGGTGAAAGAAGAACAGACATACATTAAGATGCAGTGAAATATAGTGTGTACGTAATTTAAACTTGTCTATGCTTTACGTATGTCGGTTAAAATTTACCCCAAAAAGCATCTCTTGGCTCTACAAGACATACTCCCTATAGTAGCAACAAGCAGGTCTGTGTATCTTTTCAAATTGTTCATCATTCAGCCAAATGCAGTACGGTGACTTTTTTCCTGTTTACTAATACTGTAAGGCATATGATCATTTAAAGATACTGTTCTATCAGAACTTTTCTAGACACAGGGATTTAGAGTTTGACATGTTGCAAATCCAATTGTCCTTTGATAAAGGACATTTATGTTAACCTGTAGATGTCTCTTCGATTTTTATAAGTCTTTTGGTTGTAGTGTCGTACGTGTACACTGGATCTCATTTTATTTAACTGTTACTTTGTTGTACTAAACAGGGTGCATCCTGTTGTCTGATGGTTCTAACCAGGAAAATAACCAATTATTTGGGCGAACATATCCGATACCTATTAGAGAACATCGGACGTATGGGTGCATGTTTTGATTGTATGGATTTAAACCATTTGATAACATTTTCTTGCATTTTGATAAAGATTGGTATGGGTAAAATTAAAAAGAAAACCCGAATACACTGTTAAAACATGTATATCCATTTTCAACACCGTTGAAAAAAAACACAGTTTAATTTATAGTCTTGTTGTTGCTGTTGCTGTACTTTACCCTTTCACTATACCAATTGGCCAGCATAACATAAAATTGCAGTTTGAATATTTGATCAAATTTTGAAAAAAGAGTTAAGCCCACTGCATGTCAATGACATGTTGATCGTACGTAGCAAGAACAGTGGTATATATACATTGACTTATCATCCAATTCCAGTGATTGACTCTTTGTTTCGTGCGAAGGTTTTAACAATTGAACATCAAGGGACACTAGTTTAAATAAGTATATGAAAAATTCCATCAATATGACAACTTAAACGTATTTTGTTCGAAACATGTTTTCAATGGTTATTTAACTATTTTAAGTGTTCCGGGAAGAAATCAGAACTATATTTGTAAGCTTAATCAAGATTAGTAAAAATATTATGAAAAGTTTTGAAAACATGATATGAAAAGGAGTTTTTATCATCGATTATGCTGTAAAAATATTCCCGTTGGATAGTCAGTAATTCGTAAATATTGTAGAAAACATATTAAAACGACAACTACGCAAAAACTTTTTGTCATTGGAAAGATTGTTTTTATAACATTGCAATTGCTTAAGGCATCAATCATTCATCTTTTGTGAGGGGACAGGTTTTTTGTAATTAATCGTTTTTATTCTAAATCTCTTTCGAAAAAAAATCTTTGTATCATGGGAGGAGGGGGGAGGGCATTACATTCGCGCGCATTCCGGGATTAAACGTTTTGACGATTCTGCACAATATTTCATTACATTTGCGGATATTCTTTATTCATCTTGAAATATTCAGCACGTACGGACATGTAAAACGTTTTACTTTATTCTCTCATCAGATTTACTATGCTCGATGCATTTGAAATTTTTTATATTTCAGAACTTACTGCTTAGTTTACTTGTGCATGGTGAAACAGAATTATCCTGCTCGAAACCCCACTTCTATCTCGTCGTTGGTGAACAGGGGACAAAGGCTAACGGAAGGGGTACTGATCACTTGAGAATATGAATAAAAATAAATAAATAAATAAATAAACAAATAAATAAATAAATTTCACCTCTGTGTATCTAAATAGGTATAAATTATCTGTATTTACCGTTAAAATGAATGCACCCAAACGTATGTTGAATAAAATCGAAAAAAATATTTGTCTGGAGAAAAACAAACCGTGAACTTCACAAAAAATGAAATACAAACAAACTTTGATTTTAATCGATGGGCTTAAAATTTTCACCAGTTGATAAATTCAAACTGCAACATGACAAAAAAGTATGGTAACTTGCAAAAGGATAATGTTTACTGTGTCCATTTCTGTGTCAATATCTGAAACGTGATTCTTACATTTGATGAAATTTGTAACACAAATGGGTGCCAAATAGGTATAATTTCTGAATTTTTAATAACCTTATAATTGTCCAAACGTTATAAAATTGGGCAGACATAATATATGTCAGTTTAAAACTGTAGTATGTATCATGGATGCTAGGTGTACAACAAATGTCTCATTTTCACTTTATTTTAATACGAAGAAAACAACTTTAAATAATATATAATTAAAATTTTTGTTTTGTTTCAATCTATTCAACGGATTGTTAGCAAATCAACAAACGAAGTACCATTTTGATTTCTGATCTACAATGAGAAATGAGGCAAATGTACTTAATCTTCGTGCCATTGAAACCCACGCTATATCATGTTCTATTTCTCGTAATATTTTGCGTAAGATAGTTTGTTAAAAGTACGCATAAAAAATATTATGAATAAGCTGGTTTAACCGAGATAAATAAAATCGTTCACAATTTTAAAATGCTAAGCCCTTGATAGTTCCCTTTAACTTACAATGTTATTTATCTTTTCATATTTTCTAGCTTGCATTTTTGAGAGAAGACTTGAATTGTTTGTACATGTTTTAAAATAGCACTAATTGTGCATACAGTACTCGGGGATAAAGACCCCTTATTGATGGGTAAATCAAAAGAGGTTGCTAGTATATAAGTCTAATATAATCTCCTTGCTAAATCATACTACTAAAGCAATATGAATATATGCATCCTATAGGAGGAGGGTTGAGATCTCACAAAACATATTTAACTCCGCCGCATTTTTGCGCCTGTCCCAAATCAGGAACCTATGGCCTTTGTTAGTCTTGTATGTTTTTTCATTTTGGTTTATTTATATGTTCCGGAGTTTAGTGTGACGTCCATTTTCGGTGAACTATTATATATTATTGTTAAGGTGCCAGCTGAAGTCTGCCTCCGGGTGTGGGATTTCCTCGCTGTGTTGAAGACCTTTTGGTGGCCTTCGGTTGTTTTCTGCTCTT